TCATTGGTTATCATGGTTGCTATAAAACAAATTTTACTACCTGCACTTTTTGGACGTTGAAGGACCACTCACACCAAACTTTACCCTTCTCTTTCTGATGCCTGAAATAATTTATTATGCCTTCCTTATTGCGGAATTAGATTGAACCCTCTTTGACACATGTCACGTTTTAATAATGTCAGGATGATTTAACCCAATAGTTCTGCCTTGTGAAAACCGTGCCTGGGACACTGCATCGCCAGCTGTGATTACATCTATGTGAAAGGAATGAGAGATCTGTTGTTGTTTATGCAGTTTCAGTGAACACTGAACTGCAAATTTCTGGCTGTGTTCTCAATTAATGTGTGTTTATTTGCATGTTACAGTGACCAGCTTAGTACTTCTTGTGGCATTAGTAACCACCCTTTACAATGTCATTGGGCTGCTAATTTGATAGCTTGAGAAGCAGGAACCATGTTGTGAGTAAGGGTCATTGATTGGTTTTACATTTCCCATTGTCTTACGGTAAACTTTGGTGCATAATCAATGATTACTAGAAAAAGAAAATACTGGCCATCATAATTTTTATGTTTTACCAGTAACATTGTGTTGTGTTTATGAAGTTGAGGAACTTGTGAGCACAGAATTTATAACAACTTGGTAAAGAAGATATGCTCGACGTAAATTTTTTGTCACTTTTTGACAAATAAAGTTGTTTGTACTCTTTTCTTCTTTGTCTATGTTCTTGCATTTTTTTTTATGTTGACACAAAAAGCACAGCCAGGTACTCTAGGAGCATGGCATTGTTCTGGCTAAGTGTCCAGTACTTATACTGATTACCTATCTTTTGTTGGTATCCCACCGAGAGCACCTTAAGTTAGAAACATCATTTAAAAGGTGAGAAAGAAATGCCTGCATGAGTTATTGTTTCATGAGTAATGACGTTTCGTTTGTATTTCATTTCAGGTATGCCTCTGTCATATGCTATATTCACAGGAACTGCACTTTGTCCACATGATCGCACCATCGGCAGGGGCACCCAGTGAACACATCTTCAAAGTTTTGTCTGCGAAAGTGTCGGCAATTAGGAATAAGCACTTTTGCAATTAATAACATGGGCACACATGCTGTCTCTTTCGTACGGAGTTGCCTTGCCATAATCGTGATATGCCTTCAAACAAGTATTTGCTTGTCATCGGCTAAGGGCTTGTTATTATGATCTAAGTATTGGTGATTATTAAGATTTCAGTGACGCTGTTTTATATTCCTTTCAGTTTCTCATTGAAGACTTGTTTACCGGCCACAGTAACATGCTGATCTGCTGCATTATTTCCTTGGCCAAAGTGCTGTAGGGAAGTTGCATTTAACTCACTGAGGTCATATGCTGTTTTCTGGCACTATTCTGGGGGCTGAGAAATGTAGCCTGGGTACCTCTGTACTGTTTAGGTTACCAAATAATTAGAGTATTTATAGTTCTCCTTTAGTGCCTCATAACGAGCATTTTGGCATGTGATTTTCTGCAACACATAACACAACAGCGTGACTGCACTTTAAAAGAAAAGCAAGGAAAACAGCTTGCCTACTAGATACTTTCAGTCTCATGTTCGTGTCTGTATACATGGATACTTCAAAAAGTAGTGATTGCATTAATCATGCACTTTTGCTGTGTGCCCTTAGTCTCAAAGTACAAGTGAATTCATTTTTTGTTATAGTGCTGCAGGTTTTGTGGGTGATAGGATTTTTTATGATGCACTGTATGCAAACACTTTCTTCGTTTAAATTCTGAACCATGTTGCTCTGCCAATCACACAGCTTTCCACATTTTTGTGGAAAAACCACAATATATGTATGGTTTTATGTAAAATAGGAGGATGCATGAAGCACGTCAAAGTTTTTTTATTCATGTCTGTTGGTTCTGTGTTCTCAGGTCAAACTCACCAAAGGCCTACATTCATATTCATTCACTATGTATTTGGTATTTGCTTTTGTGGATTTTTCATTAGTTCAAATAATTTACTATGTGACGTAATGTTGGCAAGTGAAAATGGTAATGACATGTCAGCAGCTGGTCTAGTATCTTTGTCTGTAAGAACTCGCTTGAGAATATAAGTTTGCCTCAGGGTTTATTCTTGTAAATTTTATTTATCACCTTTAATTTGGCCTTTTTTGCTTAGCTTTGTAACCATTTCGACTATAAGACATCAAAGACTGATCGTTACCATGGCAACAGCTTCTTGTCAGGTATAAACTATGATTCAAAGAAGAAATAGACAGGCTGTATTTAAGTTTTACTTGCAAAATTATCTGTAGTATCATCAGATCATCACAAAACTGGTAATTGAAAGGAAATGGGTTTTTTTGATGCTTTTTTTTATTTTTCTGCCACAATTTTGATGTGAACCTTGCATGTGCATTCTAAAGTAAAAAAAAGATAGGAATACAAAGGCTTTGTTTTTGAGCCATCTATTCTGAGTCCTCATTTGAAGCACTAGCTCCACCTTAAGCTTTGTTCTGAGCATGAGGACTGGCTTTTCATCTCTGCCAAACATTTATTTGAGTTTTTTGTCAATTTTTGTAAAGCGTATTTGTTAGTGTGTTTTGTATTGATGCATTAAAATACTGACACAATGAAAAAAATTTCAGAACTTGGACTGTATGAAGAGGAAGAGGAAGAGGAAATCGACACAGACAACACTGACGAGGGAGAGCCTCTCGACGAACCTTTTGAAGAATTTGCAGCTACAGGTGTTGACTCTTCGTACATTTCACATCTGTCTCCCAATCAGACTTTGTCAGCATTGTCCATGCCCGTTCACCACCAGCAGCAGCCACACGTTGGACATTCTCCAGAGGCTTCCGTTGAAACATCTGAGCCTTTTCATGAGTTTGGCTACGATCAGGAATCGTCCATGCAGTCGCCACTCAAGCGCATTATCTGCCCTATTTGTTTACACACCTTTGCCAACAAGGCGAACTTCAAGCGCCACCAGCTGCTGCACTGGCCGGTGAGGCGGAAGTTCCCTTGCTTCCTGTGCCCTAAGCAGTTCAACTGGCCCGACGACGTGAAGCGGCACATTCGGAGTGTACATCAGCTGAAGGTGGACCCAAAGGGGGGACGCAAGCAGTCCGGATTGTGACGGCAGGTTTGAGCCCAGGGCTGAGTGACGCTTGTGCTGTTCACTGTGATGTGCCACTAATTAATTGTGTGTCCATATGTGTACACGTTCACCTGCTGCAGGTGACAAAGTCATGTGTCTTGGCTACTGCACGTGTGCACGTTTCTTGTGAAGTATAGTTTGTTTTGCTCATAGACCGAAGTGTTACCACATCGCATTGGCAACACTGTGTAAAGAAATGGCTGTGGTGGAATCCATCTTTAAGACAAGCTTTGTTGGGTGGACATTTTCTTGCTGCAATCATCTTGAATCCAGAGCAGCAGCAAAGTGTGTGCAGTTTTTGTACCTGGGTACAGCTCTTCTGGTGCTTGTGGAGCAAGTGTGGCATTGCCATACTAATACCCAAAATACTGCATAATTGCATTTATGCATTTGAGCTGCATGTGCTAGTTTAAAATGGATATTTGCATTTGTTTTATTGTGATGTTCGTAGACACTAAGGCATTCATTACTAAGAGGAGATGTATAAGGGGAGCTTACCAATTATCATGCCTGCTGCCATGAACTATTTGCAAAGAAAATGATTAAGCACTGATATACACATTTGCATTTTATCAGCATTCAAAACAACCTGCTTCAAGAGCAGAGATGTTTGTTGGCTATCTTGTAAAAGTAACATAGGTATTGCTTCATTTTATTACACTTTGTATAGTATGTCTATATAAACAGTAAATTACCTCATAGAAAAGAAACTTAATGAGAAAATGGTTTACATACTAGTAACAAATGATAGGCAGTTGTCCTGATTTAAACAGGAAGTATTCTGGATAAACCACTTAGTTTTTGCTCATCAAAGTTTTTGTATTAAATAGGAATACAAACTGTACATTTGGCTATGTTGCACAAAATATTTGTAACTATTTCTTTTTATCATTTTGGCATCTTTTAAATTTTATGTTTTTGTATGTGGTGACATAGATTGGACTGAAAAAAAGGCAATGCATATGTTCTAAGTTTTTTATTAATACAAACATTAGTCTTGCTAAAAAGCTAAAAGCTATAGCCCATGTACTTAAATTTAGTAGGTTAACAATATCTTTGACACATTGGTGAGATTAATTAGTCAAAATTCATATTTGTATAATTCTTTGCGTGTATTGTAATTTATGCTTGAATGTGGCATAGTTTGGTCTTCAGTATTTGTTACTGTTCTAAAACCTAGTTTAATATTATTATACGAGGCTTAGAACTGCCTGCCAGCACTCAGTTTCTAAATGAAAGCAGACAAGCTTGCATTTGCCGATGGTACTTCGGATCTCACTTGTAATGTCTGTAGTGCTCTTTCTTTATTTTCGCATTGTAAACACGCTGGCTGTAGCTGTAAATTCTTTACCCTTGATTATCTAAAATTAGAATCTCTTGAGCCCTCTTTTATGATAGCTAGCAGCATTTCAGTGTTATGTATGTGGTCACCAGCCACATTTGAGCAAGTGAAAAGCCTGCCAAGAAAGTTTACTAACTCTATACAGTATATGAAAATTTTCACCAATGATTTTTTAAAATTTGGAAAATCGACAAACTCAGCGCTCCAGTTACTAGTAGGGGGCCACAGGTTGGACTTTCTCCAGCGGTTTCCGTTAAAACATCTAACCACACACTTTGGGAACTATCAACAGTTTGATTCGGTAGTTCCCAGCATGTGTGATCTTCAATATTTCTGTTCTTGTCTACATGTCCCTGAAGACTGGGTTCGTCGATTTTCCAAGCTATGTATCAACAGGCCCAATACCAGACTCTCTTTCTCTTTAATAATGTCTGATATTTTAATGTCAGTTTACAGCACTCTGCTTTACAGACACTTCGCAAGAACAGCACAACGTCTGTGTAGCATTAAAGTATTCGCACATGCGATATTGCTTTCAGTACACAGATAATGGCCAGGGCTTTCCTGGTCAAGGTAGTTACACTTATGTGATGCCCACTTGCTGTAAATTATAAAGGGGTTTATGTACTCTCTGTTGGACCACCAAAACACCTTTTATATTTAATATCACCATCTCACATGCTAGTTCATCAGTTTTGACTTGGATAGTGCTCTGGCGAAAGCTTGCACATTGCAGCTTATATTTCATAAGCTTCTGCAGAATGCCTTTTTGTTCATAAAAGTTTGTAATGCTTGCCCTGTGATGTCAATATTCTGGTTTACTTCCTGGTAATAACCAGAATGGTTCTGGGGTCATAGATAACTTGTTAACTTCAGTTAATTGCTAAATGTGAAGGGGAAAATTTTGAGTTTGTACTCAGGGAAAATTGGATTTACCAGTATTCCGCACACAAATTCAATGAAAGCTACAAGGTTGTGACACTCCACAGTCTTCTATGGTGCCAGTCATTACACATGACTAGCTTTGGGACGTTAATGTAAGCCAATTGAAAAAGGTTGAGCATCATGGCTTGGCTGGCTGTATATATCCAAGTATGACCGAAGTCGACAGTGCTTATTAAATGCATCCACTGTCAAGTTATATACGCACAGAATTACCTGAACTTAAGCATTAGAATCATGAGTACATTCTTTTTTGTTTTTGGATACATTACTTCATTGTTTCTTTTTTTTAAGTTTTAAGAGTTACTTTAAGATGCCGCGGATACAAGATGCCAGAAAGATTTAATGCCAGAAATGGGCCTATTTTAAACAAGTAAAACTTTATTTCACTTTAAATGCTGCAGCTATAAAATCATTCCCAAGTTGCCTTCAAGTAAGCATGTGCTCTGCTAGAAGTTTCGGTAAGTTTCTGTGTCTTCTAAAGGCAGAAAGTTGCACTTAATAAGGTGATCTATATTACACCTACTCAGTGTCAAGTCAGCAGAAAGTAACTACTGTACCTTTTTTAGCACTGCAGTGCCGTGTGATCATTATGTCAAGTAATATTATATCATTACCTCATTTCTTGTGACACGACCTGCTGATGGAAACAAGGGTTGTGTCGAGCCAACGTGTCGACAAGCGAACTTGTCTTCCTTGAGGCTAGAACAGTAGCGGACTTGTCTTTCTCAAGGCTAGAACAGTTTTGCTCTAGCCTTGAGGAAGACGAGTCCGCTTGTACAAACGTCGGCTCGACACAACCCCTGTTTACGAATTTTTCATCGCAAGCTTCCGTCTTACCCTTCCTTCTGTTTTGGCCTTTTAAGTGGTTTCATGTTATAAATGTTATCTTGAGCAGAAGTCTTGTATGACTGCCCAAGCCAATTTGTTCATGAGCCATTTGTTCATGTAGGTTTGTTTCCTTTTATCTTCACTCCCCAGTCCAGGCTAAGATATGTGATGTGTGATCTTCTGTGAGAGAGGTGCAACAGGGTGGCACCAGGATTACTTGGGCACCCACGGCAAACGACTTCCATCAAGGATGCAGGGAGGCTGGGAACTTATGCGTTGTGTTTTGACTATGCTTTTGGGGGCAAAGGTGGGACATGTGAACATAGTGAGGAGGGGGCTTTATAGCCCTTTATACCCCCCACTGGCACCTCCCCTGAGCTGCAAATTGTAGCAGTGAATTGTCAGAATTCTACTCTCACATTCCATACTTCTTAAAAACTTGTAGTGTTAAAAAATAATGTTGCATTGCTAGGATGCCAACTTTTATCAGCATACACTCGCTTTGGTTGTTTGGCAGTGCTTTCTTCATCGCGAAAGATCTCTTGTCTTTGGTGCTTAGAAGAAAGTTGTTTTTTGTTTTCCCATTTGTGAGATGTGAATGTTACATTGTTATCACGCATATTTAGTTGTTGACAACAGCCATCTCCTTTTGTGTTTTTATTTGGCGGCCAACCTTGTGAGGTAGCCTCTCGCTTTATTGCTGTGACGCCCACTTTTCTTGCTGTGACTTGCATCTGCATGTACGGATGATGCAGTTTTAAATTTAGAATTTGCGTTTATTGACATTTGTTACTTTTTATAGTTGGTTTGTTTGCATTAGTAGGTGGGCTTTATAAACAGCTTACCTGAGTTGGCATTTGAAAGCTGGAGTCTACTTTGTTGCAGAGGAATAAAAGTTTATTTAAACTTTGAAACTCTAAGCGTGTCTGTGCTCTTCCATATTTCTTGGTGCCAAACTGGATGGCTTGAATGTTTACTTCTCAAGCAGGATTATTCTTGTATATCTGACTAGAATAACTGATTGAAGTATTTTCAGTGGGATATGAATCTTAATTGAAAAGAAAGATAAATGCTTCCTCCTGCCCTTCATTCACTGTTGTCTGTATTAATATCCCATTGAGATACGAATGTTTGTAAAATTGCAATACTAAAAGTAAGTGAAATCTTGCAGAAAAATAGGGGATGCAGTGAGCATTCGTGTTATTTGTATGCATCACTCACTAGCCTTATTTGGTACTTTCATTTTTCAATGACGCTTGTGAAGTGTTAAAGTAAAATGTGTTGAAAATGTTGTTTTGGTTGATAGATGTTCTGTTATTACAATTGTGTGTGACCTTTTCAGTTGAGTGATATAAGTTCAGATTTATGTTTTTGAGCACGTTCAATTTGAAAATACCATATTACGGCGTTGTGTTTCTCTGCTGCACTGATGTAAATAATTGAGCTGTAGGTAGTGGGCAGTTGTCATTTATATACACGTTAAAGTCAGACGGTCAAAATTTTCTGAGCCCTCCACTAAGATGTCTCATATTCATATCATGGCGTTTGGTGGTTATACTCCAACAAATATTAGTATATTATAAGTTTTAATGATTCTGTTGCGGCTCTTTATAAGCCTATTTTGAAACCAGGGCTGAGACTGGGCTAGTTGGCACTGTCAACTAGCTCACACACTAATTTGAATCTTTCAGTTTTCATAATTATTTCTCTTTTCATTAAGCTCTGCTTTCAAACATTGTTTACTGAGAAAGTACTGTGATAACAAGATTGATGTATTCACTAGTGCAATAGAATTCTTTTATTGTGTTCTCAATGAATAAATTGATATTTACCCATCTTCAAGTTGTGTGTCACCGAAGTACTCCTGCTTTCTTTTGTTTCAGATGTTACAGTCACACCTGTGACCACCAGTGCCAATGACAGGACCACCACAGTGGAGCACCTTGCAAAGTCGTTGCTGTGGCAGTCGCTGCCACCACGGGATAGAGAAGACGTGCGATTTCCCTGTGACATCTGCCACAAAGACTTTTCAACGGCTTACACGATGCGCCGGCACCGCGTCATTCACAACCCCAATTTTCTGAAGCACCAGTGTGAATATTGTCCCCGAAGGTTCAACTGGATCGACAACCTTCGCTCTCACATGCAAGGTGTGCATGGTGTCATCTTGCAGCAGGGCCAAAGGGGACGGCCGAGATATCGTAACCGTGGCAGCCCCGACCATCACACCTCAAGTTGAATGAAAAGCTTGATCCACCGCAACTTTTATGTTCAACTTCAGCGGTAGTGCTATGTCAGCAACGTAGGGGTGAGTTCTGAGCTTCAACTTGGTGTTTTTGTTTCTATTATTATGAGAGTGGAAGCCATGAGAAAGAATTGGATATTGTAATTGTTGTGCTTTTAGAATGAAGTATTTTTCATTTCTTTGTTCACATTAAAAGCGTTCCTTGTGATTTGGATTTGTTTAATGCTTGACGTCAACAAAAAATGAAGTACCTAAAAGATTGGTACACAGTGTGTTGTGTATTGGTAACTATTAAAGAGAGCTATTTTCTGTACTGTCAGCGTGGAAGTTCATTTCACCATATCTTTGCCATTTGTAACCACTTGTAAAATACTGCAGTTGGAGGAAAACATCTCAACACTTTGCTGCTTAGAATCAATTTACCTGGCATTTCATGAAGTACTTCACTATCATTTATAGTCTGCACTTCATTTCAGTGAGCTTTGGTCACACACCAGTGTAACCATGCAAGCACTGAATACACTTGTACTCTTGCATTTGTTGGATTGTTTGACATTAGCATGTCTTTAAATGCCAAAGTGCTGATCTGGGATGAACACAGCATATTCAAGCACTATTATTGCTTATGATAATGTACTTGTCAGTTTATTTATTAAAATGTACAATGTTTAGTTCCTGCAGTTGTTTTTATTTTATTTTGACTTTATAGAGAATATCTTGTGATGTTAACAGATTAACTGCTCAAATGATTTCATAACTGCTTCTTTTAATATATTAAACATTTAGCACACTTCACCTCTGAGTGCACGATAACGTAGGTTTTGCAGCTATTGAAAACTTGCAGCCTTTGCTGTACCTGCTTTTCTGAGCAGTTTTGATATTTGCATATTTTAATCTTTAGAAATAATAATAATAATAATAGGCGAGAATCAAGGATTTATATGAGATTAGTATGAATGATACCACTTATATATTTTATTTTGGATTGGTATATGTATATTTGCAGCACATTCTTTTATTCTTTGTGCTGTAAAGGAATGAAGCCACAAAGAGCTGCTGCTTTTAAATTTTGATCATGTCATGCCATAGCCATGACATTACTGGTGCCTGAGCTCTCTGGAAAACGAGGACAGAAGCTTACTTTTCTGTCGAAGGCTCCAAAACACTGCAAGTTTTGTAGAATGCTGATTAGACATGCTGAATGGAGACGACTGTCATGATAATAGTATGATAAAGGTAGTGACATGTTTCTGGTTCAGCAGTGCTTTACTTCTATTTTATTCCTGTTTATCCCGCTGGTTGTGTCTTCCTTTAAACTCCAGTATGGTTTGCCCTCTTTTAAATTTTCTTTTCATCAAGATTGAATTTCGCGTCAAAAGGTGCAACCCATTGAAATCGCATGGAGTTGCTCTGTATTGGCAGGCCGAGTTTTGTTCATAAGTCACTCAACAACACGGTCATTCAGGCTCCTTTAAGTGTGCTAAGCACTTCTTATTATCCTTCTTGTGAAATGTTATGTCTTGGCCGACCATGAGCATCTCCCTTGGTAAGTCAGGGCACGAGGCTACTGCTACACCATTAGCATCAATACCTTTCATTGCATCTGTGCTGCGAAACATGTACTAGTGTTTTTCTGGTCACCATGCTTGTCCTCACGTGGTGTGCTGCACTTGCTGGCTGCATCCTGTTTGTAACAGTTTTCTTTTTCACATTCAGAGTCATTAGTAAGTTTTAGTTTTTGTTTAGTAAAAAATTAATATGGAGTTAATCTGCATTTTATTTATTTTTTAACAGTGAACTTTGTTACCAGATGTTCCTTTTTCAATGTCGTCGTACGTTTTTTTTTTTCTGTGTAATACATTCCTCTTGAGTCAATGGCAACATAAATGTCTGTGTGTTATCAAATGACAATGTTGCTACTGCAATGCTAGCAGACGTCCAGTTTATTCGAATTAAGCCCAACAAGGCGATCTCTCTCTCTCTCTCTCTTTTTCTGTAAGGATTTGGCTGTTAATAACAACTGTGTAGTTTTAGGCTACAATTCAAGTTGTATGAAAACGAGGCTTCTTACAGGCACTGACCAGGAATAAATATTGAATAAAAGGCATCATGCAGTTATCACAAGAAAAATATGTGTTGATGTTTCAGCAACTACAATGGGAGCCTTGTTCACAGTTAAAAATGAAGGAGGGAAACCAAGCATTTAGATAGGTTGAAGCACGTCACCTAAACATCTTGTGTATAGGAGGGCAGTTTTGCATCCATATGGTTGAGAGTGTTTTTTTTTTCTTCAGAAAAATGATGCAGTTATATCAAACAAACGCTCAACCGTATCGATGGGAAACTGCCTTCCTTATCCACAAGATGTTTAGGCCATGTGCTTTCAGCCTATTTAGATGTTTAGGTTTCCTTACTTCGCTTTTACTGGAAACGAGGTTATTCTGGTGGCTGAAACATTAATACAATGATTTTCTCTTGAAGTAAGTGTTCTCGTCTTCTATTTGAGGTTATTGTATGAAGCCTAATAACCTGTCCGATTTCCTCACATTTAAAACTGCCTGAAAGCAAAAATTTCTTTGGCTATGGAGACACCATGCATGTCAATATACAAGTTGGTACATGTGCTCGCACTCAAGAAAATAACTACAAATCTGGGTTGGATATGTCGATTTCATGGCTAGTTCTTAATCTGGATTCTACAAAACAAGGATGAAAAAAAAATAGAGATACGTTGACCTTTTGTGGGCTTTTTCTTTCTGCCATACTGTGGAAAGATTGTTGCCCTTTTCTCTGTCATCTTGTGTTCATTGCCATTTATGTCAAAACTGAAGTTCATGGTGGAGTCGCATAATTAATTATTCATAGGAAGGGCATAAATCTTACACCCTGTAATGTAATAAAGGGGCATTTTTAGCTTTGGTAGCCACTTTGATGTGTGATGTTTTTGCGATACCTGTCTTGGAAAGCATATGCTAAGGGATGCCTGCAGCATTTCATGGTAATACAAATAATTTCTTATTTTGTTATTCCTTTCTCCTTTGTTTAATTTGTTAATTACTTTAGTGCAGTGGCATATTTTAGTGTCACAGTTTTCAATTTGCTAAAATCTAGTTAATTATTAACCATGCATGCTTGAGTGTTGTAGTGTGTTAAGGGCCAGCTGCAAAGTAACACAAGACAAACTGAGAAGTGCCATAAGTATTTATTGTTGGAAATATGCAGGACTTTTTGTTATCTGTACGACGGTACAACTCATCACTCATCATATTAAACATCTTGAATATTCCTCTTTTGTCTTGGCATATTGCTTTCTCCGAGCTGATGGAATCTCATCTTCTGTTGCACATCTGCGAATTCTCAGCCGTCGTATTGTGAGATGAGTCGCATCACCTGTGATTGCTCTTGTTAACTTACACCCTTCCTTTTTTTACTACTCGCTAGCGGGGGTAGTCGTCACTGAAATTTGTGCCGCCATAACCAAAGGCAAATATAATCGTGAGCCCATATTCCTGAAAAATCTCTGGGAATGTCATCTAGGCTTTAGAATTTGTTGCAATACAAAAATTTTAACGTGCATTTTTTATGCCTCTATTTCAAAATGGAATTTATGATATTATTTTGCACTTTTGTCACAAGTGGGTAGCTTAAGGTTCAGCTGCAGTTTTTCTCGGCTGAAATGATGTGATGTCACTGATATCTCTGATAGTTAACCAAATATAGAATAATAAGCTCTTAGCTACATGTTTCTCTGCCTTTTTTTATTAGCGAGGAATTGAGTAAGCCATAGATGTGCAGTTTGTTAGTCAACAAGTAAAAAGTTTTACTTGGTACTATGTGTTCGTGCACACTTTCTTTTTTCTTTAAAAATAAATTGGGCATCAGAATGTTTACATTTCCAATTTGCGAAACCGTAGGTTGTTCTGTGATAAGAGAACAAGGCTCCATTCCTGTTTTTTTTGTTGTTGTTCAGTACTGTAATGTGTAATTCATACACTTTTGTTTGCTTTGTGGTCATTCATGTACAAATCTAAGGATTTGTTATTCAAAACTGAGTCATGTTTTTGCAAGCTGTAAATTTTGTATGTCAATAAAAAATTAAAAAAATCTTTAAGATGTAGTTTGCATTTCTTTTTGTGAGTACCTCATTGAGTAAAAATTTAACACTACATAGTATGACCAACTTACACCAGGTCTCCTGGACCTGATGTAAGTTCACATTTATTTGATTTTAATTTTAGGTATTTACAGTGGCTATAAGTACCACACATCTTGTTTCATAATCAATTAATTTTCACAAAGACATGCATATTTACAATTCACTTCCCCACTTCTGTTAGAGCTTGCATGCACTTTATACAGTACCATCTCCACAATATGCATGAAAATGTGTACATAGTCTATGTATTTTGCTTGTAGCGGCTTGGTTATTGTGGATATGTGTGTGAAAAGTCTTTGCTTGATTTCTTTACTTTGGGTTTCTATCTACCATACAATTAGAACAATGTATATTCAAATGACTAAGCGATTGTGGTGAGAATAAAAAATTTCTAGTGTCTCAAATGTTTTATCTACTTTATATAGAATGGTCTGTACCAGTTAAAAGCCCCGAGTTCCAACCTCTGCAGTTTACCGTTTCTGCAGAGGTACAGAACACATGGGCGACATTACCATTACACAAGCTTTTCCAAATGGCTTGCCATAGCATTTCAATGAAACCTCTCCTTTAAGTGTACTGCCTGGTGTACTCATTGTGTGCTCATTTACTGAAATCTTATTGCTGCAGCACACTCTCTGCCTTTCCCTTGCTTTTTTACTGATGATTATTTGTACTGATGATTATTATTTCTGTAGTCTTCACTGAAGCACTGTACACTATGGAATTTCGTCATCATCTTCAAAGCTGCGTGCATTTTTATCCGATTCGTTCAGACTTCAACTTGCCACTAATGTTTTTTTTGTTAATGTTATGTAGGACTTTATTTCTGCTTTGTAAT